AGAAGAGGCCATACATGGCACGCTGATGAAGTATTTATAGACACCTTCTGCCATGTAACTGCTAAGCGGCTATTTTTCATGTATCTAATGCAACATGCCCACTAACTATGTGGTTTTCATCTCCATACTCAGATTGGGTAATGGGGTAAGTGATAATCGTTAAGCGTTTTTTGATTTGTAGTATAATTACAAGCCCAATCATGACTCATGTAGGATAGTCCTTGTAGGAGACGTGTGTCAAAGTATTTGGATAGGGTTGAGTCCAAAGTTTATATGAATCCTTTTTTAGGTTAAGAACTGCCTTATTAGGTTTGACCAAAGGACGGGCCCGAAGATGTCAAGCCTTCCAACAACTATCACAGTCGAGGACTTATCTCGAGGATGTCTCATAAAAACTTGTCATCATCTTGTGAGGGCATAGCTCGAGCATTCACACTGCTCGAGGACTAAGGCTCGAGCACATTGTGATCGAAACAAGGAGAAAGGTCACCTTGAAACCTCAGGATCAAGGCTTGGAAATGACATATATATAGCTCATCATTGGCCCTCGTGCATTCGCTTATGAGATTGAGGTTGACGACGAATTCTTAGGGTCAAGATGCATTGAGCTCAAGATGGCGATGTAGGGGTCGCCCATATATGTAAATTGATGGAAAGGTGTTGAGATGATAATGGGACGAGCATGAGCAATCGCAGTAAAAAAAATGGAGGTTGCCTAGATAAATAACACGTGGCATGGGTTAATGGCTAGGATTGATTTGACTGTTGTTCTTCCCCAAAGTCCTATAAATACCCCTTTATCTCCTTTATTTTTCACTTTTTACTCTCTGTGAATCCTTTTTTTTGAGATCGAAGTCGAGTTAAAAGTTCGAAATTTTCCTTTGAGCGTCGGGTAACTAAGGTAAGGCTCCAGACTTTTAAGTTATACTTTTTAGTTTTAAATTAAAAAAAATGTTACGGTAGTGAGAGTGACCAAGGATTTGAGGGCTTCGATGGTTCCAAGGACGATGGGATATAGTTGATCCCCATGGCCATTCCTTTAGATGCTCGACCTAGGGAGTAAAAAGATCTCGAGCTTAAGTACCCTGATGTCCCTTGTCAGTTTAAAGAGCACTTTAGCAATACAGGCGGCAAGGAAGTTTAGGCTCATGCCTTATAATGACTGTAGGGCTCCTAACCCCGAAGCTAGGATGGTTGGGGCTCGGGATGGTGAGTTTGTCATTTTTAGGGATTCTTTGAAGGCTGGGTTTTGGTAGCCTATGCATCCATTTTTTTTTCTGGTCAAGCATTCTATGTGCCCACGGCAACTAGTGCCTAATGCTTGGAGAATGAGTATTTATTTCTTCACTGCCTATAGATACCTAGGTATTACTCCCTACCTCGACCTATGTAGAGTGGTGTTCAACCTAAAATAGCTCCGACGCTTTACTTGTTTTGCCTATCTTTCTTCTCAAGATGGGTTTAAGGTCCTGAGGATGCCTAGTTCACTGAAGGGGTAAAAGGATAAATGGTTTTACGTTATAGCTCGAGATCTCGATCTTTCTTTTTGGCCTTTATGGAAAATCTCAGACATAGCAAAGTTTTGTGAGGAATAGGCCTACTTCGAAACTTTAGAGAGAGATAGGCAGATGTTAGAGAATCTCGAGTTTTGGTGTATAATTTGGCTGATATCATCAAGGATGACATCCTCGACCTTGCAAGCGTGAAAGACCTTGAGGGTAGGAAATTTAACATCTATTAATATGTTCCTTTTTAGCTTGGTCTTCTGCTCGTGTCTAACACTTGTGTTTTTGCACAATATGACTTTTGATCCTTCAGCTCTCCATTGGGCCGTAAGCTCGAAATCTAAAGAGCCCCAGGTCAAAGCTCCTGGTCAAAAAAAGGGAAAGAAGAGGCCTTGGGTGGTTACCACAGACCTTTCATCCGGGCCCAAGAGAATCATTAGCTCAGGCCCCCTGCACCGAGCCTTGTTTTACCTCGACGACTAGCGAGCTCTCTCCGACCTCCTTCTAGTTCTCCATAGTCTCTTTCTCCTTACACATTGGAGGTTGTTGACCTTGAGCATGATTTTGTACCTCCAATGGCCTTAGTCATCAAAGACTTCGAGCGCTGCCATCTTATATCGAGCATCGTGGCAAAGTACAAAAGTGATGTGGGGTTCAACGAGGGCATGAAGGCCCTTGAGCTTCTCACTTTAAACATAATTCTCGATCTCTTTATATGGCAATTTGCATATTTTCTCATTCTTATGCTCATTATTTTATGTTTTCCAGACCCTTAGTATTGCCTAGGGCCTATCACTGCAATGGATGGATGAGTCCCATAAGATGGCAGGTTTGGTCGAAGCTGTTGAGCTTGGGGATAAGAAATTCGTCGATGCTAAGATTTTTTGAGCTCTGATTATGAAAGAAAGCAATGATTCAGAGGGCTTAAAAACGTGTGCCAAACAAGTTCCATAAGTGTCCGCATCAGAATAGGAATTTGGGATTTTGCCCTCGAAAAATCCCCATGCAGCCGCATGGTTATTAGCCATACGACCACATGGTTCAACCAAAATGGCCCTAGAAGTTCTCGGAAGGCAGCCATACAACCACATGGTTGTCACCATTTCCTCCGCCAGATAGCTTCCAGTATTTTGGCTATACTTTCTCTCCTGATATCTGATTGAGACGATTCAAGTTGCGTTCGAAAGATAAGACGAAGGGCTACAACTTTGCTTCCAATTTGATCATCTTCTATGTCAAAAAGGGGTTCCAATATGAGGCTGAAAATCGATGTGTAACTTTTTCGATTGAGAATTGATTTGTGAAGATGTTATGACCATATTTCACTTCTTTTGACTTTTAATTGTGCCCAATTGATCCTTAGCATTCTTGAATCATCATTTCATCTCCCATCTCATCTATGAATTATTTGTAACTTGGTCCCTGAACTTTCACTTTCTTCCACTTTGCCTCTTTTTACTCATTTCTTCCAAATTTCAACATTTTCCATCAAATGGAGACCTACATCAAAACATAAGAGTAATGAGTGCATTTTGATGTTAAATAATCATATGAATGCAACAATTAAGAGGATGTCATATTTTACACTCTTATCCCATCCCCCAACTTGCTTATTGCTAGTCCCTAGCAATTCAATATAGAACAAGCAAAGGAATGATTAGATTGTGATACAAATGAAATTATTAATTTCCAACTTAACTGCAATTCATGCTCTTTTCAAACTCAACACCACAAAAACTTAACAATGTCATGATCATCAAGATATCAAAAACACTTACCAAATGTGTGAGTATGTGTGAAGCTATAGCCATCTTACGACCAACCCTAACACATGCAACATCAAGTATGTCTCAAGCTGAAGGTTTAGCTCCACAACTCACGAGTATCAAAGTGTTTAGTGCGATTTTCTCTCTATGGAGTTGAGAAAGGGATACACTCAGAATTTAGAGGCTTAAATGTTTATGAATGAGCTACAAGCGAACATTGATTTATGATAGGCATACTGTCAAATGAAAATTCATCATTTTCTTACCACAATCATACTTAGGATCAAAATAATCAATATAAAGGATTGTAATGTGGTTTGGGTTAGGCTGTATGAAAATGAGGATATAAAGATTCAAGGACTTCCAAGCATGTAGTTAGGCACCTCATCAAGCATCTCAATAAATTACATCTTTTGATCAATACACTCTTCAATATTTCAACACCAAAATTAATCATTTTTTATCTCTTTTTTTGTCTTTTTTTGTCTTTTTGTGTTTTTTTAGGGGTGTTTTGCTTGAGCACATACTAACTCTTGTTATTTTCTTGCTTCTATTTTTCACAAATAAGCATTCAATACTTACTACATGCTTGAAAATAAAAAGTTGGGTAAATACATGGATAGATTATACTCTAATGTGGAGAAGTATGTATAACATGTGTATTTGAAGAAAAGGCTATACATGTGTGTATGGCTCAACATGGCTACTAGGGGTTGTAATTATTGAAAAAGGAGGCTTGAAAGGCTTAAATGTTAATCTTAAATTGACCTTCATTATTTTCTAAGTAACTTACCATCTTACCACAAACCATATATTCTCAAAAGAGTTTCCAATTCACAAAATCAATGAATGCTCATTGCTATTTTAGTGCAAGGTGCCTCTCGATCCTCATTAACTCTAACAAGAAAACTTCAGCAAGAAACTACTCTAACTATATGTGTTAAACCACTATCTTACTATAAGGCTTGTATGAGCAAAAAGATTCAGCAAATGTCTCAACATCCAAACAAATTAAACAACATTAATTTCTAGTAGCATATATTGTCATTCAAGAACATGTAGTGAGTTAGGGACTTAAAACAATTTAGACCAAAATTCCATGTAAATCATGCAATTCACAACAAAATTTAAGTTAAACTCTCCCTCCAACTAAACATTGCATTGTCCTCAATGCAAAAACACGTTTGCCAAATAAAGGTAAAGAAAAATGTCACCTTGAGTGCCGAAGTGAATCACATGAGCTGAAGTATAGGATGCCTGAAAGTCTCCAATGGAGAGAGTGATGCAGAAAATGAAAATAAACTAAAAAAATAAAATGTAAAAACGCTAAAAATTTTGAAACTAATGTACAGAAACACAAAATGAAAAAGTACTTGAAGTGTGTCATGAGTACTAAACCGGGTCTGCAAGAGGAATTTCTTCCAATGTAGACACTTATTGCCCATAGAGTATTTTAAGTCTCTATCCATTCACTTTGAATACCCTACCATCATTAGGGTCTTCAATTTCAACATCCCCATTTTTCAAAAGCTCGTATTACCACAAAGGGGCAAGTCCACCTAGAGCGGAGTTTTCCCGAGTGCTTGTGAAGTCTAGAGTCATACAAGTACACTTTCTGGTTTGGCTCAAAAGTTTTTTCTCAAAATGTTTTTATCATGAAATGCTTTCATTTTTGACTTGTAGATTCTAGAATTTTCATACGCATCATTTCTTAACTCCTCTAACTCACTCAATTGAAAGAAATCTTAAAAGATGTACGATAAGCCCAAAGTAAATCATTCAGTCTCAACGACCAATCATTACGATTAGGGTTCACCGTCTTTTCCAAAATTTGTTTAATTTTCCTATTAGCCAATTCTATTTGTCCACTAGTTTGTGGGTGATAAGAAGTGGAAATTTTATGAATCACCCCATACTTTTTCATTAGTGCCTCAAATAAACGATTGCAAAATTGTGTGCCTCGATCACTAATGATAACATGTGGTGTACCAAATTGAGAGAAAATATTTTCTTTCAGGAATTTAACAACCGTTTTATTGTCATTGGCTCTACAAGCAACCGTCTCTACCTACAAGTAGTCTACAACCACAATGATGTATAAATAGCCAAAAGAGGTGGAAAGGGTCCCATAAAGTCAATGCCCCAACAATCAAACACTTCAATTACCAAAATGGGATTTAAAGGCATCATAATAGGCAGGGAATAGCACCTAGTTTTTGACACCTCTCACAAGATCTACAATAGGTATCAGTGTCTTTAAATAAGGTGGGCCAATAAAAACCATACTGCAAACTTTTTGTAGCAGTCTTTTTCATAAAAGTGGCCCCCACAAGTTTGGGTATCGCAAAAATCAAGTACACTGGGTATCTTCTCATCAGGAACACATCATGTCAATATTTGATCGGGGCAATACTTAAATAAATAAGGGTCATCCCAATAAAAGTTACATACATCAACCAAGAATTTTCTCTTATCCTGTGCACTCCACTCCTTTGGAATTTCACTTAGATTCAAGTAATTCACAATATTAGCAAACCATGATAGAGAAGAGATAGTAAATAAATTTTCATCAGGAAATTCATCTCTAATTGGCAAGGTGTTTGAGTTATCTTCAAAAGTCAGCTTTGACAGATGGTCTGCTACAACATTTTCCACTCCCTTCAAGAATCTTTGATAATAATGTCAAATTTCTGAAAAAGTAAGATTCAACGTATTAGTCTTGCCTTAGCATCCTTCTTTCCAAGAAGGTGCTTAAAGGCTGCATGATCTGTGAAAATAGTAATGGAAGAGTCAATCAAATAGGATCAAAATTTATCAAGCGCAAAGACTATCGGTAGTAATTCTTTTTCAGTAGTGGAATAATTCATTTAAGCACTATTTAGAGTTCTACTAGCATAGTAAATCACAAAAGGTTTACCTTCTTTTCGTTGCCCTAGAACAACACCTACCGCAAAGTCACTAGCATCACACATAACTTCAAATGGCAATGTCCAATCAGGTGCTTGAATTATGGGTGCGAATGTGAGTCTACCAATCAACAATTCGAATGCATTTTGACATTCAAGTGTCCATTCAAAAGTCAAATCTTTGTTTAGCAAGTTACATAGGGGTCTAGATATAAATGAGAAATTTTGTATAAACCTTCTATAAAAAACTGTATAACCAAAAAAATGATCTAATGTCCTTTACTATCTTAGATGTAGACAATTTAGAGATTAATTCAATTTTTGACTTATCTACTTCTATCCCTCTTGAAGAAATAACATGCCCTAAGACAATACTGGAAGACACCATGAAATAACATTTTTCTCAATTCAAAAATAAGCCTTTTTCTTCACATCTAGCCAAGAATCTTTTCAAATTTAACAAACATGCATCAAAGCGGGTCCCAAAGATAGTCAAGTCATCCATAAAAACTTCTATGCAATCATCTACCATATCACTAAACATACTCATCATGCATCTTTGAAATGTGGCAGGGGCTTTGCAAAATCCAAATGACATTCTACGAAATGTACAGGTACCAAAATGACATGTGATGTGGTTTTTTTAGTCTTCTAAAGGAATCTCAATTTGATAGTATCCTGAATAGCCATCTAGAAAACAGTAAAAGGGATGTCCAGCCACACGTTCAAGTATTTGGTCCAAAAAGGGAAAGGAAAAATGGTCATTGTGAGTGGCAGTATTTAACTTCTTATAATCATTGCACATGCACCAACCAGTTACCGTTTTTGTAGGGAACAATTCACCTATTTCATTTTTTACTATAGTGACCTGACTTCTTGAGGACTATCTGTGTAGGGCTAACCCATTTACTGTCTGCAGTTGGGTAAATGATTCTTGCATCTAGCAATTTAAGTACCTCATTCTTTACCACTTTCTTCATTGTGGGGTTTAGCCTACATTGTGGGTCTCTCCTAGGATTAGCCCTTTCCTCTAGATGAATCCAGTGGGAACAAATTTAAGGACTAATATCTTTGATGTCGGTTATGGTCCATCCTAATGCAGATTTGTGTTCATTCAAAATGCTTAATAGTTGTTTACATTGTAATACATCCAATTCTGACGAAATAATAACAGGAAAGGTATCACCTGGTCCAAGGAACACATGTTTTAGTCCTGTAGAAAGTTGTTTCAATTCTGGCCTAAGGCTTTCAATAATTGATGGTTTCTGTCCTCCAGTCCTTTTTGGCAATTCCTCAAACTTGGGCTGCCATGATGAAGTCCTATGATCCTACAATTTGCAAAAACAGCAAAAATGTTAGCATACTTGTCAACATCGAAACCACATGAAATTTCAGAATTTAGGAAAAAAGAGTTCAAAGGATCAGAATCAATTATTGTGGATGCTTCCTCCTGGGTGAATGCATCAATCATGTAGGTTTGATGGCATTCATCATCCTCCGTAGGTTGTTTGGTGATATGGAAAATATTAACTTTTAGAGTCATATTTCCAAATTTCAGCTTCCTCAGGCCATTTCTGCAATTGATAAGAGCATTAGCTATAGCAAGGAAAGGTCTACGAAGTATAATAAGAATTTAGAGTTAAAATTCACCTCAACCTTCACATCTCGTACCAAGAAATCAACGGGGTAGTAAAATTTATCAAGCTGAACTAACACATCCTCAACTACTTCCCTTAGTCGTATGGTAGACCAGTCAGCTCATTGTAGAACCACTGAGGTGGGTTTCATCTCTCCTAGAACTAACAACAAGTATATAGCATAAGACATGAAGTTGACACTAGCTCCTAAATCAAGAAGGGCTAGTACAAACTTACGGTTCCCAATGACATAAGAAATGGTAGGACAACCAGGGTCCTTATACTTTGGTAGGATCTTTTGTTCTATCACAGCAGTTACTTGCTCAGTCAAGAAGGCAGTTTTTTTTATATGATGCTTCCTTTTTACAGTGCATAAGTGCTTAAAGACTTTAGCATTTGTAGGAACTCTAGAGATCACATTTAAGAGAGGCAAATTGATTTTGACTTGTCTGAGGTATTCTAGATTTCATTATACTGACCTGTTGATTTTGAAGTAGACTTGAGAGCTTGAGGAAAAGGTATTCTAGCTAGATTTTCCACTACTTCCTCACTAGGACTGGTCTCATTAGGCTCACTTGGCTCTTTTTCATTCTCTCTAGGTAGAGCGGTTGGTTCTACAACCTTCCCTGATTTAGTGGGTATGACATTCGCTTCCTTAAAATTGGTATCTTCATATCCTGAGGTTTGTGCCATGTGCTACCCTTTTGGGTTCAGCTCACTACAACTAAGGCATTGGTTAACTTAGACATATAATTCTTTATCTCTTTGTTTTCCTCGACTACCTAGGTAATCATAGTTTCAAACTTTTGTTTGTTTTGCCTTGTACCTCGATGAATGCATATAGGTGGTCTTCAAAGGAATTCCTAGAGGAAATGGGTTGATGTGGGGGTGCATTGTAAGCTCGAGTTTGTCGGGCATGTTGTTGGTTCTCAGATTTCCAGCTAAAGTTGGGATGATTCGGCCACTCTGAGTTATAAGTCTCGGAGTAAGGGGTGTAGGGCTTTTGATAGATTCCTAAAGCATTACAGTGTTCATCATAAAGTTCGCTCATCTCAGTATACGTAGTACACTCTTGTGCTGGATGATCCGTGCCACCACACACAAAATAAAACCCTTCAGACTCAACATTGGAAACAATGTGTGTAGGTTGTGAATCCTTCGCACGTAGGGCTTCTAATTCTCTAGTGAGGCTTTCTACCTTGGCTTAGGGTTGTCGTCCTTCCTAAGGTGATAAATGCCTGTGTTAGTAGGGTTTCCTTGAGGTCGTGACCTATTGGTGCTATCGGAGGCATTAGATCCAGTCCAGGTATAAACCTTCTCAGCTAACTCATCTAAATACTCTATGGCCTCATCCGGATCTTTTTGCAAGAAATCACCATTACACATCATCTCAATAAATTGACGCTCTCTAGGTGTTAATTCCTCAAAAAAATAACTCACTATACGCCAACTCTTATATCCATGGTGGGGGCGAAGGGTTTGCAACTCTTAGTATCTCTCCCAGGTTTGGTATAAGATTTCACTATCCTTTTGAGTAAATGAGGAAATTTGCTTCTTAAGGGAAGTGGTCTTGTGATGTGGGTAATATTTGCCAGAGAAAGCTTAAGTTATTTCAGCCCAAGTTCCAATCGAACGTGATTTCAACGAATACAACCAGCTTTTTGCTCGTTCTTTGAGTGAAAATGGGAAAAATTTAGGCCTGATTGTATCCATTGTACCACGTTGATTGTAGAAGGTTACAACCACTTCCTCAAGTTCCCGAATATGCACGCATGGATTCTCATTTTTAAGTCCGTGAGAAATGGGAAGAAGTTGAATCATTCCCGATTTTAGGTCCATACGTGGCATATTGGGGGGAACATAATGCAAGATGGCGTGGAAGTGCGTGCTGGGTGAAGGTAATCATGTGGGGTCCTATAGGGTCCATCACCGTGCCCATTGTGTTATGTAATGTGATGCTCGTGTCTACAGATGTAGAATCGAAAAAAGGGTTAGAAAGTAATTCAAACTCTAGTTGAGGTCTTGCAATGTGAAAAAAAATTTGACCTAGAACGCTTAGATATGCTAGAAAGTTCGCCTGACGTGATACAGTGTCATGTTCAAATTTTATGCGTTACCAAGTTTACATTCTAGATTTCACTTTAACCAATTTGACCTTACGTACAGAGTTAATCTAACTAAAGCAACAAGTCACTTTAATTAGTTGTTTAGGTGATTAATCATATAAGTCAATTAACCTATGTTGGAATGCTGCAGTTTGTATATTATGCAAAGCAGTAAATAACAAACAATATGATGACGGAGAAACCCCAACGTGGGTAAAACTCCGGGACCAAGCCAGTTACCTCAGCTATACCAATTCAGCAAGTACAAGTTATACGAAACTCCATACCCAATCAGACCCGCTGTTCCAGTCTCACGATCTACTGCTGCAGATACTTCTAGTCTCTTGCTAAACTTCCTGATCTACCTTCTGCAGCCCAATTTGCTGTCCACTACAACATCCTGGTCCTTAGCTGATTGTATCACCAAGTGGAACACCAAGAACCGTACGTTCTTGTGCCAATCCACCTCTCTCAATCGTCCAATGAGAGAGTCCCTTCCTCAATAGATTAAGGAAGTAAGGTGTTTTGGGTTATGCAGATTCAATGTTTTTTCCCAAAACAATGGTTGCCAGATCACAAGATTGATGTAGATGAAATCTCCAATTAATTGCACCTTGGATCTCTTCAAAGATGTTATGAATATTTTTGCAATGAAAGAATAATGTAGCAACCTCTTCAATTTCGTCCTAGGGCTTGAGTATTTATATTTGAAGGTATTTAGGTGGTATGGGCCGAGTAAAACACTTCAAAAATGTAAAATAGGATTTTTGCCGCATAGGAGTGTCGCTCGAGCGAGAGTCAGCGAGAATCGAGCAAGAGGTATTCTTTTTTTTCGCTCGAGCGAAATGCCAACGAGAAGCGAGCGACAGTGAGTAGTCGTCAGTATTTTCATCATAACTTTCTTTTCCAATATTCGATCGAGGTGATTTAACCTGTGTTGGAAAGATAACTCAAAGGACTACAATTATTCTAGAAGTAGCCTTGTCCAAATTCCAACGATTTCTATGTGAAAAATGCTATGCAATTTATGACTGAAAATCCGGAACATAATTTGTCCGGCTCTCTGATATCCTTTAGATTTTCAATTGCATTCCGATGATCTTGTGTGATCTTCTTGGGCATCTTGGACTCCTTCAACGACTCGAACAATAATTTACCTCATCTATACAAATTGCACCCTAAGTCTTTGACTTTTACACCAATGTTCAATTGAGTCCCTGACTTTTACAATAATACAATTTAGTTCGTTTTGTCCACAGAATCGCCAATTACACTTTTAGACCTAACACAATGAATCACCCTCGCTCATCTTGATACCTATTCATAAAGCACAAAATGTGAAAAATAACAAAATACAACAATAAATAAACAACAAACTAAAAAGATAAAAGAGGAACGATGTCACCCTTTTGCTCGAAAATCCTTTAATTATTTGTACCGTCTCCCCAACAACGGCGCCAAAATTTGATTACGCCCAAAGTGTAACGCGGTGATTGTAGTATATAACTTTGAGGTGTCGTATCCATGGGGAGATGAAAATTAATTAAAGGGTCCAACAAACTAAGATTTTCATTGTGAGTTGTGTAACAGATAATATATCAATTTGAAATGTGTGCAAATGTTAATATGTGAATTTACGGGATTTGAATCAAAGTATGAAATAATGAAGCGTCGGAATTCCCTCAATTGGTTCAGATCATACGATGTCAATTATGCATTCATGTACTCAATTAAAAAATTTTCATCAAACTTTAATTGAGGAATATAACATTAACGCCCAATTTTATTCTACAGTAATTTTAAAATATGGATTTCCCATAACATATTCTCACTTTAATCTATTGAAATCAGATTCTAAATTCACCTTATACATCGAGCATAAAATCATAGAGAATCACACCAATAGATAATTGAAATTGAAATTTAACAATTAGGTTAATTTTGCGATAGATAAAACATGATTAAATATATGCGAAATGCAGTAAAACTTAAATCAATCTCACAACAATGCTTGAAATTAAAACTCAATACATGCTTCATTTATTCGATGGAAAGAACATGATTAAATCCATGAAAGTCTAATATCTATTAAGCCAATCTCAAAACATATTTATAAAAACAAGAAATCCAAATCGAAAATTGTTTACCAATGGAAATCATATTACAAGCATGAGAAACATTGAAATAATCGATACCAATAGAGTTTTTCCCTTACTTTACCAAGGATTTCTAGCCTTCCATGGAGTCTCTTCACCCGAGATGAGAGAAAATTGATGTGGAAAGGAAGAATGGCGCTTTGGGTCGAGATTAAGGCTTAAAAGCGTGTGCCAAGCAAGTTTCCACAAGTGTCTGTGTCAAAATAGGAATCTAAAATTTCGCTCTCGAAAAATACCCATGCGGCCACATGGTTATAAGCCATGCGACCGCATGGTTCAACCAAAGTGGCTCCAGAAGTTCTCGAAAGGCAACTATGCGACCGCATGGTTGTCACAATTTTCTCAGCCGGATATCTTTAAGTATTTTGACCATAACTTTCTCTCCCAATGTTCGATTGAGGTGATTTAAGTTGTGTTGAAAAGTTAACACAAAGGCCTACAAATTTGATTCAGAAATCATCTTCCAATTCAAATATCTTCCATGTCAAAAAGGGGTCCCAATATGAGGCTAAAAATCGGTGCGTAACTTTTTCAATTAGAAATTGATTTGTGAAGATGTTATGATCATATTTCACTTCCTTTGACTTCTAATTACACCCAATTAACTCTTAGCATTCTTGAATCATCATTCCATCGCCCTTCTCATCTATGAATTATTTACAACTTGGTCCCTGAACTTTCACTTTCTTCAATTTTGCCCTTTTTTACTCATTTCTTCAAAATTCAACATTTTCCATCAAATTACAACGTAGATCAAAACATATGATTAATGAGTGCATTTTGACGTTAAATAATCATATGAATGCAATAATTAAGAGGGAAAAATATCATATTTTACACTCTTATCACGGGCGACTTCATTCTTGAATGTCATTTTAATTCTTTCATGTCATTGATCTCCATCAAGATATTAATGTTGGAAGTGTTCAGCCGGGTGAGGGATGCTAGTGGTAATTCATTTCTACGTTAACCCCGAGGATGCTCTAGTCGAGAACCCGAATCATGGTGCCTCTTATGCTCAGCCCTTTCATGGGATAGACTATCTTTTCTCGGATCCAATGTCTCCTCCATATTAATGTACTTTTCAGCTTCGATGAGGAGCTCGATCACTGTCTGTGGTAGGGTCCTCAATAAGGACATTTTGAACGCCTCACACCTTATAGCATATGTGAGGGTAGAAATGGTTGCCATGATATGTAGGTTGGGTATTTGGAGCCTCTCTTTGTTAAACCTTATCGTGAAACCATGTAGGGTTTCTTCCGTCCTTGGCGAAGTTGCATGAGAGAAGCTATTGTTTTCCTGATGCACTTGCTACTTGTAAAGAAGGCAAATAACTTAATAACCAAATTTGAGAATGAGGCTATAGAACTGGCCTCTAATGTCGAGAACCAATCTCTAGCAGATTTATCAATATTTGCAAGAAGGCCTTGCATATCACCTGATTCGATGTAATTTGCAGGTTCATGACGTCAACATACACATTAAGATGGCTGATCAGATCAGTCGTCCAATCATACTCTTTAATATAGGGATATTTGAATCTTTCAAGCAAATGATAGATAGTATCTCTAGCGTAAATAGAGTGTTGGGGGTAAAACCCGTTGGAACCCCGAGTATTCCAAAGCAAGCAGGTTGTAATCCCTTCTTGAATGATTCGGGTAATCTCTCCAAAATCCATGATCTCGATCATGAGGCCACATTAGGGACGCCCAAGGTTCCTACTCCTCCGTCACTAGGGGCAGGGTGTGGTGCTTGAGCTCGAGCATCATTCATAAAATTGCCTTGATTTGCCGACGTTAATGATGGATGTGAATTTCTTTAACTCAACAGCTGAGTTAGTGTGGCCACCTCTTGATCTCTTCAAAAGCTCTAGCCATGACAACTGCTGGCTGGGTGTGGGTATCTCTGAAGAGCTTGCTGGAAAAAAATCTAATCGTGTGTTAACCATGGCTTTTGGTAGCATTTCCTATAGACAGCGCCAATGATGCTACCAAAAATCTGCACCTGCTGCTTTCCCGAACTTGAGGACTGCGAATGAGCACAACGAAATCTTCTGGTATCTAAAACAAAGGAGTCGAGTTATGTCCCCATCACCCCTCCGATGCTTAAGTTAGAAAGAGAATTTTTGCGTGAGCCTATAAAGTGGAAATAATAAAAAATGCACTTGAATAATGATCCAATGCTTTGTATTTATAGAGGCAGGCAGTACACTCCTAGTAGGATTAGGTGGTGCACTCCTGATAGGATATAACTATTGAACGTCCTTATCCTAAAGAGTCCATCCAAATAGGAGTGTTGGACTTGTACTACAATTGTATGCCCAATCATGACGTGTCATGTAGGATAGAGTCCTTGTAGGAGTCGTGTGTTGAAGTATTTGGATAGGGTTAGAGTCCCAAGTTTGTAGGAGTCCTTTTAGACCAAGAACAGTCCTTTTTAGGTTTGGCCAAAGGACGAGCTCGTGAACGTGAGGCCTTTCAACAGCTTTCATGGCCGAGGACTTATCCCGAGGATGTCTTAGGTAAACTTGTCATCATCTCCTGAGGGTGTAGCTCAAGCATTCACATTGCGTGAGGACTAAGGCTCAAGCACGGTGTGATGGACACAATAAGAAAGGTTGCCTTGAAACCTCGGGATCAAGGCTCGGGAATAATATAAATGTAGCTCATCAAGATTAAACCTCAATCATGGGTTCTCCTATTCATGCCACTTAAGTAAAACAATACATCAAGCATCTTTGGAGTAGAATATTTTTTGTGGCTCTTGGCCTTACACAAACATAACTTGAAATAGAGGTAATAAATAGAATTATAGATTGAGGGACAACTAGGATGGAAAAGTCTATTTAAAATTAACTTGTTACAAAAATGATAAGTCCAAGGTTGAGATTAAAGACGTGCTTGTACAAATTTGAATTATTCAACAACATCGTATTGCAATTTCGCAATATTCTGTTTTTCCCCTTTTGCATTGTTTTGGCCATGAGTTGATTATGTACTAATTATCAATATGATTAAGAAAAGAACAACAACAACAACAACATAAGTGCGCCAAGAAGGTTGGTTAAAAGTATCTATCTATATCTTTTGGTTTACGATTCAAAAACCATGAAAATTGCCACCAGAAATGCTAATTAATCATTGTTTCCTCAAATATTTGTGAGAAAGAAAAGGATTCATTCCAATCTATTTGGGACCAACTAGCTACAAAAGTTGATAACTTTAAGATTATGAACAAATTTGAATAAGTAAACATATGTTGCAAATTTTCTTTTCTTCTCAAATTATTTTTACAATATTCTAATTTGCACGGCATTTTTGTTTTTACATTGTTTTGGCTTGGGGGTTTTCTAAAATATTGTTTTATATACCATTTCTTTAAGGTACTAGAGAAACAAGAACAATGGTCCTATGGTTAATGAAATAAATTTATACAACTTGGAATTCTTTGGATTCAACTTTTGAATTCTTCAATATTTATGAATTTTTTTATTAAATCAATTTTTTTTTCCTATAAAATCAATGACATCCCGATTTTCATACTTCTTAACATTCGGCCCTTGTTTGAGTTCCATTCTGTTTATAAGAATGCAGTTTTTAATAGTGTACTGATAGAAAATATGTGGTTAAAAAATAAGGAAAAAATTTGGATTTACTTGTAATATTATTTTATTGAAAAACATATAGTTGAAATAATGTCAAAATACTGTTTAACAATAAAGCTCAAACAGGGCTCGATTGGAACAATGATTTGGTTGATCCATTTATTCTCATTACTGTATCAACAAACTTTAATCTCCTATTTGTCTTGTCTCGCCTTGTCAATTTAGTTAAAAAAGTTTGTCGTGTTTAGCTTATTTGAGTAAATATTCACTTGTTTGAATATTAATAACATAAATCACGCTCCAATATATTACTCTTTCAATTCCTTGGACCGGGTCTCCGGATAAACCCACGCTAATTAGAGCTAAATTGGGAGGCTTGACCGCTGCCCTAACCGGCCTATCCGGTCGTCATTCGACTCTCTTCGATTCTATATAATACAAAATCCGATCCCCAATTAACTCGGTCTCATCGTTTTCCAAATTCTCGAATCGAAAGGGGAAAAAATCTAATTCGAATCAAACCGAAGTAAGTTCTTCACCCGATTTATAATGCCCGTGTTCTGAATTCGCATGCTGTAAAATTTTGTTCATTTATGTGCGCGCGCTATTTTCCGCTTCTGATTTCGTCTGTAAGTTTAAGTATCTGTGTATGTGTATGCGTGTTTGGGGAAGAATTTGCTCATTTAGAGGAAATTTAGAAATCAATTTTTGTTTTTTTATATGTTTAAGGTAGATTAGATGCGACAATGTCTTCTGCAGTTATGGAGCCAGTGCCTGTGACTTCACAAAAGCATGACCCGGCTTGGAAGCATTGCCAAATGTACAAGAATGGGGACAGGGTTCAGCTCAAGTGTATATACTGTGGGAAAATTTTTAAGGGTGGTGGGATTCATAGGATTAAAGAGCACCTTGCATGTCAAAAAGGGAATGCAGCTACTTGTTTGAGAGTTCCATCAGATGTTAGGTTCCAAATGCTAGAAAGTTTGAATGGGATTGCTGTTAAGAAGAGGAAAAAACAGAAACTTTCCGAAGAGATGTCGGGTAATTTTGATAATCCTGAAACTAGTGGGGTTGATGTGTTGAACCATAATTCTGGTTTGAATACTGAGGTCGATTTGCTTCCTGTGCCCGAAATGCACGAACAGAATGCAGAAGTGCTCGTAAATAGAGAAGATACTGTGATCAACAAAGTAGGTGGTAGAAAGAAGAAAGGAAGAGTTAGGAAAGCCCCTCCTGCGGCCAATCATAATGCAATTGTCTTGAGTAATATGGAGAATATGAACTCGAAGAAGGTGCATAGTCCAGTACATATGGCAATAGGGAGGTTTTTCTTTGATGTTGGAATACCTTTAGATGCTGTAAACTCTGCTTATTTCCAGCCGATGGTTGATGCAATAGCATCGCACGGACCAGGGGTTACTGGTCCCTCTTACCATGATATTCGGAACTGGATTTTGAAGAATTCAGTTCAAGAAGTGAGGAATGATGTTGATCGCTGCAGAGAAGCTTGGGGAAGGACTGGTTGCTCAGTTTTAGTAGACGAATGGAGTTCGGAAAGGGGTAAGACATTTGTGAACTTTTTGGTGTATTGTCCAGAAGGAACAATTTTCTTGAGGTCCCTGGATATATCCCACATCATAGATTCTACTGATGCCCTTTATGAATTGCTCAAGAAGACAGTGGAAGAAGTTGGTGTGAGAAATGTGATGCAAGTGGTAACTAGCAGCGAAGAGCGTTATGTTATAGCTGGAAATAGACTGACTGATACTTATCCTTCTGTATTTTGGACTCCTTGTGCTGGACATTGCATAGACTTGATGCTTGAGGATATAAGAGAACTGGATTGGGTAAAAGTTAAGCTAGAACTAGCAAAATCAATCTCTAGATACATCTACACTAATAGCGTTGTTTTGACCACGATGAGGCGATATACATTTGGAGTTGATTTGGTTGATATAGGAATCACACGGTCGGCTACAGATTTTATGACACTGAAACGAATGGTGAATATCAGACACAATCTTCAATCCATGGTTACTTCTGAGGAGTGGATGGGGAGCCCTTTCTCAAAGAAACCAGAGGGGTTAGCTGTACTAGACTGTATCAGTGATCAGTCTTTCTGGGCCACCTGTGTGTCAATTGTGCGGTTAACTGATCCACTCTTGCGACTTCTGAAAATAGTTGGTAGTGCAAAGGGGCCCGCTATGGGGTTCATTTATGCAGGACTATATCGAGTGAAAGAAACAATTAAGAAGGAACTCGCTGATAAAACAAAATACTTAACTTATTGGAATATCATAGATCACAGGTGGGAACAACTTCAGCGCCATCCCCTTCATTCTGCAGGTTTCTATTTTAACCCCAAGTTTTTCTACAGTCTTGAAGGAGATGTGCATCTTCATATTCGGTCACTAGTGTATGATTGTATAGAGAAATTGGTTTCTGACCCAAAGATTCAGGACAAAATTGTGAAGGAAACAGCTTCTTATCATAGTGGGACAGGAGACTTTGGTCGGAAGATGGCTATCAGAGCTAGGGACACTTTACTTCCCAGTGAGTGTCCTTTCACGAAATAAAGGCTTTTTTTTTTTTTTTTTTTGGTCAGTTATCAAATTTAATTGGGTGCCTCAATTCTTGTGTGATTAACATTTTCTTTTTTGTGTTAGTTTCTACTGAAAATTTGATGAAAACTGAAATATCTGGGGAATGTTTGATGCTGAAGGAACTTGCCATTTTTTTAACAAGAGAATTGCCCAAAGATTGGGAATGTGCCCCAATTTGAACATTTAAGAACCTTTGCCCACATTCTATATGTCGGTTTGTTAATGAGGTCTACTGCTTCGCACAAATTCCTTGTATATTTTTTCTTTTCTAAACTGACAAATTAACTGTAATCAGTGGGTCAATTTATCATTAACCAGCAATGGTGAACCTTATTTATTCTCTAGCTAGACATGCACAGCCAGGCATGGCATGAATTCGAAAAGCCACAACAATTATACTAAAAAGAATCAAGGATAGTTTAGGATGTATGCCATGGCCATTTTAGAAACTCGTTTATTCCTTATCAATGTTTATTCTGGTTTGTATTCTGCAATCAGCTGAGTGGTGGTTAACGTATGGTGGGGGATGCCCTAGTTTGGCTCGCTTGGCTATCCGCGTTCTTAGTCAAACTTGCAGCTTGATTCTGCGTAATCCAATTCGAACACCTCTTGAATGTGTACATGAAAAGAAAAACTGCCTGGAGCATCAGAGACTCAGTGACCTTGTTTTTGTTCAGTACAACATGTCCTTGAGGCAAATGTAAGTAGAGAAATTAGCCCTTCCATATTCTAAAGTTGTTAAACCTTCATAAAGGTTAAGACTAACTTATAAGTGGTTCTCTTCTTTATTATTTTGCAGGGTTTTGAGTGACAAAGAACAGGAAACTCTGGATCCTATTTCATATGACATCTTTAGTATTGTTGAGGACTGGATCATGGACAAAGAATTAATCTCAGAGGGCTCCGAGAATTCAGACTGGACGGCTGTTGATCCACCTTTAGGTAACACTGCCCTCTTAGGACCACCAATTGATGATGTTGAAGCATTGGGAGGAGGTAAACTAAGAGTCTTTTCGGAGAATTCATGTGTTATAAATTGGGGTTACTTATATATTTCTCACTGTAATGTGCAGGATTTGATGATTATGAAATTTTTGATGGGGTGAAAGTTGAAGAAGAAAATGACGGAGAAAACCTTGCGAGTCAATAGATTCTTGCAAATGAAATTCCCAATTTCTTTTCAGAGGAAACTGAAGATGGTTAGGGGCTGATTCTGACCAACAATTGGTAATTGGTTGGAAAAAAGTTTGAGGACTGGACAACAGTGTAAATATACTTGGTTACTGATGATGTTGAATATGAATATAGGTAATTACGATTTACGATTTGCTGAAGGAAATTTTTTATTAAATTTCATATTGTGCGTTTGCTAGCAAATTTCCTTTTGCTATCCCTGCAAAGGTCTGAGAGAAGGCAGAAAGAATTGAGAACCTTTTCTGCACAATTTCTAACTTGAAGAGCTCTGCATGAGCTACTAAGAAACTTGTTCAAAAGTCAAAACAAACATGAACGTTTTTAATACGCTGAAGTTGACACGATAAGGAGAAAGGCATGTGACAATGTTCAACTCAATGTACCAAAGATGCAAAAACAAAATACTAATAAGCACTTAAAAAATAGAATCTGGTCTATGCATCATTCATGTTTCCACTGTTTGTTCTTACAGGCGACAAATATCACACAAACTGTCATAGGCAGTAATTAGTTACAGTCAATACCACCTATCTATGGTGAAATTGCAAAAGGATTTATGTACATACATCATCTGAAATAAAGTTGCTGTGCTAAATGTAGAAACTGGAAGAGTGGAAAGCTCACACAGAGAGACCTGAGGTTGAACCAAGAATGCTGAAGCCCTAAAACTACAAGTGCATATTCTACAGTTGCTGACTTAAGTAAGCATTGAAGTCATTGTGGCACCTCGCCTGCATGCTGTCCTGCAGGATTTGAGATCTAACTGCCATCCACTCTAAATGAAGCAGCTTCACGATCAACCGAGGACCCTGCACTTACCCTCTCAAAGTATGATGATGATGATGGATATGAATGCACAAAATCCTCCAATCTGTCACCATTATATTCATCAGAAGCAACCAACACTTGGGGAAATGCCACTTCTCCATACAAGTACCTAACCACCTGACTCATCGTAGGCCTTTTATCGGGGTCATCGTCTGAACAAATCAATCCCAGCTTTATCACCGCTATAACCTCTGACTCGTCATAATCTCCTCTTAGTCTTGGATCCACCACCTCAAGTATTGCCCCTTGTTTCCACTTATCCCACACCCAATCCACCAAAATCAATTCCTCTGGCAATGCTTTTGCCTCGATTGGCCTCCTCCCACAAACAACTTCCAGCAACAGTGCACCAAAGGCAAACACATCTGTTCTTGTTGTTGGCTTACCAGTTTTAGTTAGTTCGGGGGCTAAATATCCCAACGTGCCCACCACAATTGTTGTGCTTGGATTTGCACCACGCTCATATAGCTTTGCAACTCCAAAGTCTCCGAGCCTACCATTTAATTCCGAGTCTAACATCACATTTCCTGCTTTTATATCCCTATGAATCACAATTTGTTCCCATTCTTCATGTAAATATAGCAGTGCAGAAGCCACACCTTTGATGATCTTTAACCTCTGTTGCCAAGTTAAAATCATTTTCCTTTCATCGAATAAGAACTTATCTAAGCTTCCATTAGGCATATAGTCATAAACAAGCAACAGATCCCCTCTTCTGCGGCACCATCCCAGTAATTGAACCAAATTTCTATGCCTAAGCCGTCCTATGCTTTCAATCTCTGAAACAAATTCACGTAAACCCTGCTTGGAATCGCTATATATTCTCTTCACAGCAACTTGGGTATTGGAATTAGGCAAAGTTCCTTTGTAAACTCGGCCAAATCCACCGAACCCAAGTAGTTCCTTGTCTCTAAAACCACTTGTCGCTTTCTCGAGCTCTTTGTAGGAAAATTTATGTGGGCCAATATCAAGCTCCCAAGCCTCAGTCACATCCATATTCTTGATTTTCTTAATTACGTACAAGGCTATCGCAGTTGCAAGTACCATAAGAACAGCAGATGCTAAAGTAGTACCTAGAATTAAGGGCATTTGACTCTTTTTGGGTCCAGGAAGAGAAGGCAATGAAGATAGATCCAGGGACTGAGCTTGCCCATTCATCTTGAAACTCCATCCGAAAATATAGTGAGAACTGGCAAGTAGACCGGTCGAAGCAGAAAAGCCCACATACATGTAGTCCATGAGAATTGGTGTAAGATCCACAGCAAATGAAAGAACTGAAAGTCTCGGTTTTGATGAAGAAAGTGAAAGAGTCACATCCAGTTGTTGTTTAGTCGAATCATATTCAATCCAGGCCTGAATTCTCTTCCCACTTTTGAGACGGAGCTCTTGCTCTGTTGAATTTCCTTCAACAAAATACTTGGCAGGCACAGATGCATTTGAGGCCAAACTATTGATGTCAATCCCAACATGGTTATCATTAATATCACCAAATTCCATGTTTTGAACAGTGTCGAATTCGACTGCAAATACATGGTTAGAGAAATTACCAACCTCAGTTGCATTGAGAAGACCCAGATACTGACTTGGAAGAGCTCCTTTGAGCTCTTTCGACTTGGCGATCGTGAAGGCTAAGCCATGGCCACCCAATTTTTCATACTCAGGGACCATAGCAAATACAAAAGCCGTTGAAAAGGAAAAAACTTTCCCAGTAGTTGAGTTCTTGAAATTAATTGGGGCTTGATAGAAGGCATGGCCAATGAGTCTCCAAGTATCGTTCGTTAGCTTGAGAATCCCATTGTGCTCAATCTCAGAGACAGTATTCAGGCTCATGTTGTTGCCTGCTCCTTGAAAACCATGGAAAATGAACTCATCCAACTGAGAAAAAACTGTGCTCGAGAGAAAAAGTATAAGCAGGAGGAAGAATATTATCAGCATTTTGGCCATCTATTCTCTTGTTAGCACAGGATAAAGAGAGAAGACGGTAAAGCGAAAAAACCGACCCCAGTTGAGTTGACACTTGGATATTACACAGGGTAAGGACTTTATTTGTGGTGCTAGTATGTCCAGCGTCATTCATGTTTCTCTTCTATATCACCTTTTAAACATGAGCTATGCTACAATAATAAAGGGTTGATAAAGTTAAGTTAAAAAATCAAATCTACATCAATCATTTTAAAAGCAAATTTTTAAATTATTTGAAATCAAGGGTCCAAATTTTGCCAACACACTTTGACACTCCACTTTTATACACCAACTTTGTAGGAGTAGAATTATTCTTTAAACATTCATCCAAATGACTCGAGATTTATTGTTCTTTCCTCTTTTTTCCCTAAAATTGCCGGGGAAAACAGGAGATCTCGCTCCTTCTTTATTGTTCTCCCAAATTTTGTTAACAAAAGCAAATGGATGGAGGACTTAAAATTCTAGTGGAAAGTAGCAGATCTCAATCATTTCTTGTCATTCTCCCAAATCACTTTTTTCACATTGGTAAAGATACTCAAAATATACAGGTACAGCTCCCTCAAGTTGAGTTTGGAGCCCCTCATGTGGACGTGGGCCTCCCTCGTGTGAGAGTCATAAGTCTTGCTCTTTTCACATTCATGGACCATCGATGAGTCAACATGTTATGTTCCTATCTTCGCTAAAATCTTGATAGCTCAATATATGAGTTCGTTATATATATACATGAAGAAATCAAAATTCTAGTTGGGGATAGGAGATCGTGACCCTTCGTATGTCAGTCTCCCAAATCAACTTTTTCTTGTTCATGATACATCATGTATTCTCCCAAACAAAAATTGTTCCAAAAATATATTTCAATATAATTCAAAAATAAATTCATCTTTTCTTTTTCTCTGTCAAAAATTTTAATGATTCATTTCATCATATAAAAGATTTAAAATGCTTGATTTTCCATCCCACATTTCATAATCTTTCATTGATAAAATTATAGTTAGGATACTCGACTTGAGTGAAATGCAGCATAAGTCTCTTTACTATTGTGAACGAATTAGTTTATTAATGAATGGATGAGAACTAGAGAGAGTTGTGAAATGTAGCCCAAGAATGTGTTTTATTATAGTCTGACCCAAGATTAATAATCCGAATTTTATTATAGCCCTGCCCATGTGATGGGAAGTTCTTGCTTAGGGCTTGGGCCTACTTGCCCTTTTATAATCAATGGAAATCATTATAAATAGGAGTGGACATTTTGTCCTGGAATCGGACCAAAACCAGATAGAACATGACAGTCCTATTCCTATTCCTCTATTGAATGGGTTGATTTTGGACCATGGATCGAGAATTGGTTGGTTCCACAATGTTCTTGGTATTACCTTGAGAATTAATAGGGAATTTGGTTCTCTCAAATATTCTATTTTGCTAGTACATTGCACCGAGATGCACAAAAATTTTGAAGATTAGATCCCAAAATCATCTCATGTCAAAATGTCATTTTCCATACACTTTTTTCCTGCATTTACGACTTGATGTTGAACTTTGGAGTGAATTTTTTGTATAATTAATTTTTTATTATTACATTACAAGATGATAAGTGATTTCATACTCGAGTTCCCACTCCCCCCCAATCTGATAAGTAGTTTCATATTTTATTTTTATAGTTTTTAAGTATAAAGAATTGGACTAGAACCAAAACCAAATGGTTCAGTTATATAGTTAGATATGGAAGTAATGGTTCCATTTTTAAGATTTCCATTAGTATTCAGTTTGGTTGGTTTTCTTTTAAAATCAGAATGAACCAGATTGTACCCACTTCTAATTATAAAATATTATTTCATATTCCACTACGTTATGTCAATAAATTAAAATGATTGGTTGACATATAAAATATATCTAAAAATACTAACTTCTATATGACAAACAATATTTTGTAATTAAAATCTATGGAATCCAGCAATGATTACGCCTCTCATTTAGCCCTTGTTTGAGACACATTTTGGAGGAAAAAAAATACATTTTTTGAATAGTGTATTGATCGGTATTTATTTCCTTTCCTCTACGACTATTGGGGATTCGCCGAATCTGGAATACATCATGTAATATTTTCTGCTAGTATATATGACTTTGCCATTTTTTTTGTGTCAATAAATATACCAGGTAATTGATTTGCAATTCCTTACAAATAAATGATTTTTTTCAACATCTTGCTCACATTAATTGATACGGGGGTCAAAGTGAGATAGAGTTGTTTCATTCCAAGAAATTTTACCTTGTTTTTTGGGATATAGTTTTTTCCCTCCCAAAGTTAGGAAAGTCATTTCATCAAAATGACAATATACAAAACGTGCAGTAAATAAATCATTCGTTAAATGTTCAAAATACCTAATAATTAATGGTAAATCAAAAACCACATAAATTTCAAGTATTCGTTAGGAGCCAATTTTAGCACTTTGTGGGGGGTAAAATAGGGACTTGGACGTACAACTAAAAATTCGTAGATGAGAAATATCATGTTCATGACCAAATGCAAATTGCAAAAGTGAATATTGATAATATGCAGTTGATCTAATACGAACCAATGATGCAGCATATAATATGGCATGACTCCAAACAGAAGCTGGGAGTTTTGTTTTCGTAAGTAATGGTCTAACAATAAATTGTAGACGTTTAATAGACGACACTGCTAAATCATTTTGTGTATGGACATGCACAACTGAGTGTTCAATTACAATCCCAATTAACATACAATAATCATCGAATGCTTGTAACCTAAATTCACCAACATTGTCAATAAATAGTCTTAATTGAGTAATCGAAAAATTGTGCTCGTAATCTTATAATTTGAGCAAATAGTCTAGCAATGGCTATATTCCTAGTGGAAAGTAGGTAAACATGCTACCATCTCGTAGAAAAATCAATTAATATCATAAAATAAAGAAATAATCCACATGGTGGATGTATTGATTCACATATATCTCTATGAATTCTTTCTAAAGAAGTTGGAAATTCAATATTGATCTTTGTAGTCAAATGTCTAACGAATAACTTGCCTTACGAACAAACTACACATGGATAATCATTAGGTAAAAGAATCTTTAGATTCTTTAAAGGATGTCCATGTGAGTTGTTTATTATTAGACATACATTATAACTCCTGGATGTCGAATCAATCATGTCAAAGTATAAAATTTTTTGGGCCAACGAACTTTTGATTCGTGATATTATTTAATTCAACATTTTTTATAAATATATCATATATGGGAGTAATATGAAATTTTTCTTTTATCTACTTCTAACCAGATACAAAAGAAGTTATGTAAAGATATTCGACATTATTTTCTTATGTCGTCTCAATATAATATTTATTGTAATAGATATCTTTAAAACTAAGTAAATTTCTTCAGGATTTACTAAAATAAAATGTATTGCCAATATATAATGTTGTATTATTTGATAAAATAATACAAACTTTTCCGGAGCATTCATCGACATTCGATACACTTGATATTGTATAACATTATTTTCTTCTAATGTTAAGTCCAAAAAAATATTTTTTTTCTTGAAGAATATTATGTTTAGTTGTACTATCAATGAAGCACATGTTTTGACAATCCATCATGAATCTATCAATTTGACAAAATAGATATATTTTAAAAAGTTTAAATTTAAATTTAAAAGGGTAAACAGAATTCAATACTGTGAAATTAAAGATACATAATAAAGTTTAAAACATTTTTCGAAAAGTAAAAATATATTTCAAACTAAATCTCTAAAATAAAAGGAAATACTAGAGATATAGAAAATAAATTAATCTATTTATTTGATCACACTATCCTCAATCAAATTGTCAATATTCCCATTTGGATCGGTAAAGAAATCGGAGATTTTCAAATAAGTCACATCAATTAGACCATCATAGTCAACAAAATTTGGCTCCATTTTTTTCCTTTCCCTTAATTGATTTTTGATAGAGATCCACAAGATATTTTGTGATACAACAGGTACGTGTCCAATGCCCCTTCATTCCACATTTAAAGCAACTTTCTTCATACACCTTTTTGGATGTGCTACTTTCGTTCACTTTGTACCTTTTGAAATTGTTGCCTTATTGTTAATAACTTTGTTAAATATTTCGTTCATGATTTATTCAACGTGCACACCTGCGTCAACATCAATGTCCTTGTCTTGGCAGTACATTTGCTTCAGAGGTACCATTTGCTTCAAACAACGGTATAGAACCAGTTGGACCTAATCCATGATTTTTTATCAACAATTCATTATTCTGTTCAACAACAAATAGGCAAGATATAATTTCTAAGTACTTCTTGAAATTACAGTCACGATATTGCTGCTACAGAGCACATTTGAGACTGAAAGGTGGAAAAAGATTTCTTCAACATATCTTCGTAGGTATTTTTTTTCCACACGAGGTCAATTTTTTAATATATTCTGAACAATTCAGAATTGTACTCACTAACAGTTTTAAAGTTTTACAAACGAATGTACATCCACTTATAGCGGGCTTTGAGAGGACTATAATCCTCTGATAATCAAATCTCTCAGTTAATTTTTTTCAAAGAACATGTGGATCTTTTTTAATGAGATATTCAATTTTCAGTCCATCGTGAATATGATGGCAATGAAAGATGAGTGTTTTTGCACGATCTTGTATGGATTTTTTGTTTCCTTCTTTTATTGTTTCTTCCAAACCTTTTGAGATAAGATAGATATCAGTATCGAATACTCATGATAGATAGTTTTTGTCAGACATGTCAAGTGCAGCAAACTCAAGTTTTATGTTTGTCATGTGACTAACTACACAATAAAGAAAATACATTTAGTTTCGAAAAATATAATTAAATATTACATAATGGTTAATCAATATCAACAGGATATAATATATGTATTTTCATTCAAGGATAAACACTAAAATAATATGTTTTTCGAAATATGTGCTACTTCAAGAGTACATCATATTTTATTATTATTTCTTCAAGAGTAATATATTAATATTCGTCTAAAATATTGAAAATTATAATTTATGCTCTTCAGGAGCAAGTAATATTCTTTAGAAATATTAATTATAATGTTGTGCTACTTTTAGAGCAACAACTATAATAGACATATCTACAATTAAATATTCTTCTAGAACGTTAATTATAATTTTTTGTTACATCTGGAGCAACAACATGATATATTATCAATTTAAAATTTAGTATAGAACATCTAAAGTTATTTAATTAGGTTAAAGACTCTTCCAACAATAGTCATAAATATTAAAATTGGCACAATTGTTGTCACCTTTAGGACTAATCAAATAAGGAATAACTATGGGCACATAAGTATAATTACCATTCCAACAATTCTGGGCTCATAAAAAAATTATTGTACCAATCCAATCATTAGAAGATTGAAAAAAACACTTGAATCTTGAAAAACGGAATACGTACAGAGAGAGGATTGTAAAAGATTCGACGGGACATGAATTGAAAAGGCAAACATTATATATTAATTTCACAACTTGAAGCTTAATGTGATTGGAACATGCAGAAGAAGATTAACATGAATTGATGTGTACGTATATATAAAAAAATTCCATTGTTATCAAATTAAATTTAATACACATGATAGAAAAAATTAGGATTAACATCATAAAACGTCCTTACGTTTGACACTTATTACGTAAAACAACCCTACATTTCATTTTTATTTTTTTTGCATTTTCGTCCTTATTTCAACGTTTCATTGCTACAAACGTCATTTTCACTATTTTTGAATCTAAAATTACTAAAATACCCCAATATTTAAATAAAACCAAAAAAGAAAAGAAAAGAAA